CGCCATCCGGGCCGAGAAGAGCCGCGGCGGCTCCTCCCGCCAGTCCATCCAGAAGTACGTGAAGAGCCACTACAAGGTGGGCGAGCATGCTGACGCCCAGGTCAAGCTCTCCATCAAGCGGCTCCTCGCCACTGGCGTCCTCAAGCAAACCAAAGGGGTCGGCGCCTCCGGCTCCTTCCGCCTGGCCAAAGGCGACAAACCCAAGAAAAAAACAGCCCGGAAGAGCAAGAAGACCGTCAGGAAAGCCGGAACACCCAGGAGAGCAGCCAGACCCAAGAAAGCCAAGTCGCCAGGAAAGAAGCCCAAAGCTGCCACCAGGAAGGCTGGAAAAAAGCGGAGGGCGACTCCAAAGAAAGCCAAGAAGCCAAAGACTGTTAAAACCAAGTCACTGAAGCCATCAAAGCCCAAAAAGGCAAGGCGGTCGAAACTCAAAGCAAAGTCCAGCGCCAAGAAATCACCCAAGAAATGAAGTCTGGAGGCTCATCTCTGGACTCTCCTCCTCTATTTCTGTAAATAGTTTTTGGCTTTATTTTTACCTCTTTCTATTGCAATTTATAAATAATTCATCTATTCCTGCCTGGAAATAGCTAAAATAATGCAATTACTGAAAGAAAAAAGGAATCTCTTGGGTATGGAGGGTTCCTATTTTTTAAGAGTTACTGGCTTGGGTTTTTATTTCGTTGTTGTCTCAGAGATTTCTTGTGTGTGTTTTTTTTTTTTTAAACTTTGTGTTGGGAATGAAGGTGAATCCATGTGCATACTAAGGCCATAAAGGATCTGAATTCCTGATCCTGCCCCATCTGTTAGAGGGTTGTGTATTAGTTGGGCTGGGTAAAGACTCTGCCCATATCAGAGGGTGGGAACAGGAAAGCCTGCAGGGAGAGGGATGAAAAAAGTCACCTTGGTGGGAGTTTGGTGCCCCCTGAGCTGGCTGTGCTGGGCGCAAGATAATTTGTTTAACCTCATTCCAGCAGTGCCGCAATATGTTATTACTAGAGCCAAGGAGGAGTGGCCAGGATGGCGATTTCTTTGATCTTTCCGTGTAGAGGCATGGGCAAGAGGTGGGATCTCTCTGCCAGAGAGTTTGCTCTTTCAGGGACACCAGGAGAGTTGCCATCAAACAAGCAGCTTTGGGCTGGGATCAAGGGAGATTTTTCTCTGGGGATTTGGAAAGTATGAGGCAATCCTGGTGGATAGGAACCACCAGGGAATGGCGGTCCTCCACTATGGGCAGAGAGGAACCTCCTGAAGTTCAATAAAGGCAAGTGCAAAGTCCTGCACCTGGGGAGGAATAACCCCATGCACCAGTATAGGTTAGGGGTTGACCTGCTGGAAAGCAGCTCTGCAGAAAAGGACCTGGGAGTCCTGGTGGACAAGTTAACCATGAGCCAGCAATGCACCCTTGTGGCCAAGAAGGCCAATGCTATCCTGGGGGGGGTGCATTAAGAAGAGCGTTGCTAGCAGGTCGAGGGAGGTGATCCTCCCCCTCTACTCAGTCCTGGTGAGGCCTCATCTGGAGCACTGTGTCCAGTTTTGGGCTCCCCAGTGCAAGAGAGACATGGCACTGCTAGAGAGAGTCCAGCAAAGGGCTACAAAGATGATGAGGGGGCTGGAGCATCTCTCCTCTGAAGAAAGGTTGAGAGAGCTGGGGCTGTGTAGCCTGGAGAAGAGAAGGCTCAGGGGGGATCTGATCAATGTGTACAAGTATCTGAAGGGAGGCTGTCAAGAGGATGGGGCCAGACTCTTCTCTGTGGTGCCCAATGACAGGACGAGAGGCAATGGGCACAAAGCAAAACACAGGAAGTGCCGCCTGAACATCCGGAAAGACTTCTTTCCTGGGAGGGTGACTGAGCACTGGAACAGGTTGCCCAGAGAGGTTGTGGAGTCTCCTTCCCTGGAGATATTCAAAAGCTGTCTGCACATAATCCTGGGCACTGTGCTCTAGGCGACCATCCTTGAGCAGGGGGGTTGGACTAGATGAGCTCCAGAGGTCCCTTCCAATCTCAACCATTCTGAGATTCTGTGATAGGGTGCCTGAAGTAGGAAAGCACAGCTAAGAGAGCCACAGACTTTCCGGGACGAAGCAAAGGGGCCCTCTGCACCCCACAGTTGGGAAACACCATCCTCACTCCTTGATCTCCCCAGGTCCCCAACGTGGGGGTCAAGACATGGGGTGCCGACCTAGTGGGGGTGAGGTTGGCTGGGGGGCCAACTCCCCCATCCAGTTTGGCACTGGGGCAGGCTGCCTGTCTGCCTGTGGGGCGATAACAGAGCACTCATACCACAGCAGGGACTCTTCAGATGGGGAAGGAGAGAAGGACACAGAGTGGCACCACTCAGGCTAAATCCACATTTGCTTCTTAAGAGCTGGAGCTGCACACTGCTCTTGCTTGAAGTTTGTTCTTTTCAAAGGCAAGCAGGAAGAGATTGACCCCAGGGGAAAAAAGGCCAAACATGGCTTTGGGGTATGTTTCCTCACTGTGGATGAAAAGGGTTGTAGGGCTAGGGCATCACAGTGGGCAGCCCCCAGGCTGGCTGGGGTGGGTGGCTGGGGTAGGGCAAGGCACAGCTCCCAGGCATGGCCCTGCCACTGCCTCAGGACCCTGCTCAGTTCCCTAGCCAGGGTCACCATGGCTCTGGGGCCAGCCTGGGCCACCCTGAGGGCTGGAGCTGGAGGGAGCCTGCTGGCTAGCTGCTGCCCAGCGGCTTCTGACAGCCTTGAACAGGAGGTGCTTAATCCCCTCTTGGCTGGAAGTGCCTAAAGCCACTGGGCTATGTATGCCCAAATCCCATCAACCTTTGGTTTCTAAACCCTTAGGACCCATCATCCCTAAATCTATTGGGTCTCATGGTTGTAAATCCCATGGGCTGGTGGGAAGGGGGAGGGGGATTAATCCCTGTTGGCTGGAGATATCTAAACCCCTTAGACATCAGGATCCCCAAACACCTGGGCCTGCAGCATCTAAATCCAGAGTGGCATTGGTGCCCAATTTTGTTAGGCTTGCTGTGCCAAAACCCTGAGGGCTTGTCATGTCCAAACCCTGCTGGTCTGGTAGTTCCCAGGTCCCATCAGCCCAGTGATCCTAAATCACTCAGACAGAAGGTGCTCAAGCCTCTTAGGCATCAAGGATCCCAAATCACATAATTCAGGGTGCTCAAATCCTTGATATTGAGGCACCTAATCCCTTGGGATCTTGTTCAAAAGACCTTTGGACCAAAGGCCCCCAAATCACCTAGGCAGGAGAGTCTAAAGCCCTTTCAAGAGCCAGATGTCTAATCCTCCTGAGCACAAAGGTGCCTAAACCACTCTGGCCATAAGATCTCTAATCTGTTACTCTGGAGGTGCCAACTTCCTTTGGACAGAGGTGCCTGGTCCAGTTGGGCTCTTTGTGTCTAAACCCATTGGGCCTGCGGGTCTCAAATTCCTTCAGCTAAAGGCGTTCAAATCCCTTGGGCTCAGACACCTTATCTCCTTTGGCTGATAGGTCATAAACCCCTCAGACTCAGTGATCCCCAAACACCTGTGTTGGATGAACCCAAACCCATCAGGTTCACGGTGCATAAATCCTACAGGCCTTTGTTTCATAATCCCCTAGTGGTAGACACCCCGAAACCACTTGGACCTGAAAACTGCAGACCAGCTGGGCTGAGGACCTCAAATTCCTTAAAGGGGGCACCTCGTGCTCCTGGGCTGGTTAAGCCTCTGTTCCTTTGCCCTGTCATTCAAAAATCCCTCGGGCCCTAGAGCCTAATTCCTTGGGCTAGTCATTCCTAAACCCCTTCAGTGTCTAAGTCGTGCAGACTGGATTCACCCAAATCCCTTATGCTGCAGGGATCCCAAATCACCCATGCTGGAGCACCTTGGGCCAGAGGCACCCCCCACCCCATATCACCCCGGCCAAAATCACCTGGCCACCTTCCAAAGGAGGTGTCCAAGCCTCTTCAGCTGGAGGCACCTTGATCTCCAGGATCCTAGTCACACATGCTGAGAACTGAAATCCCTTGGGAATGAGGTGTTCCACCCCCTTGAGCTGGGGGCTCCCAACCCCACCCGCCTTCAGGACCGCAAATCACCAGGACTGGAGGCGCCGGAGTCCCTTGGGGAGCCTGCAGTTGATGACTGCAGTTTTGGGAGCTGCAGGTGACTACCGTTTGTTGTCACCTGGCTGGGCTCGAAGCCCTTTGGCCGCCCTTGAGAGCGATGCACTTGGATTCGGAGCGTGAGGCAGCCCCTGCTCGACAGGGCGCCCGCAGCAGGGAAGAGCCACAGCCTGTGCGGGAGG